TAGACCTTAATTTAAAAATAAAAGTTTATTATTTAATTGCTATTGCGCCGCCTATGTTTTACAAAGAGGCCGACACTTGAGTGTCGAATTTTGTTTTTATGACTTGTCCAACTGACATCGTAGAAACTTTACCAGTTAAAATTATGCTAATTACTCTATCGTTCATAAAAATAAACTATAGTAAAGAAATTGCAAGCACATCCTTCTCACTAACCAACCTAATCTATATTTATTTTATTAATAATTTTTGTATTTTATAAAAACTGATGTTAGTGTATCTTATGGCAGTATGAATAAATGTTTTGTTTTCTATGTAATACTTATTTGTTGTTGTTTTGTTCGTTGGCCCATACAATTTATTGTTAAGGAGTGGGGGCGCGAGAAACTTTCATTTCAACAAAAGGGGGCGTGGTAAAAAAGAGTTTGGGAACACCTGATTTAGAGGGATGAAGTCTATGACTGACTGCACAATATTTGTAACACATGTTTCTAAACACAAGTTTAAATTGCTGTTTTTATATTTATCGAGGATCTTAATTCCACATTAAAAACCCAATTTAAGAAAAAAATATAACTGCAAATCTATTGTTTTTTATTCTCACACCACACAATAAAAACGCAGACCGTTTCCGATTTCTGGGAACTTTTTTAAATATACCAAAGAACGGTAATCACATCGGTTATCCATAACAACAACAAGTCCGTTTCTCGATGCTATTGTCCGACCGAAATTTTCGTGTCTTACGTGTATTTAAATTGAGTTATTATTTTAATATTCCGTATTAGTGTAACTGTTTTTTTTTATTTATTATTGAGTGTAATTAGAAAGAATCTTACGAGTGGGCGTCACATACCATCTTTATATCAGTATCTCACTGGTAAAACTAAGTTAGTGTATACTTAGGTTAATGTAGTTCTCTACATTGAAAAATAACCTTTAATAATATAAACGCCGAAGTTAATAATGTACCTGTTACTTAAATCTGTCAATTAAGACTGTAAACTTAAAACAATTCAAACGGTACACTTAATCGTTTATATTGAAAAGACCACGTAGTAGAGTTTTAGAGTGTGAACCAGTATTATTTTTGTATTTTTCACTGTCTTTTGTAACTTCTCAGTTCTTATAGATAAAATTTAGAGATCCTATGAGGGTTGTCTGTTTAGTTCTGCCTATAGCCATAAAAACAAAAAATATATAGACTTAAAGTCTTTATTGATATGATAAATTCTATACTTTATTGTTTTTCAAAATATGTTCCATCAACATCGATACACTTTTTCATACATTCAAACCAATTGGTAAAACAGTTAATCCAGTCTTCAATTGGCATCTGCAAAATCACTATTTTAAAGGCATCGATGGCTTGTTCTGGCGACTGGAATCGCTGCCCACGCATTGAATTATTGATCTTTAGGAACGTGAAGAAGTCGTTGGGACTTAGGCCAGGGCTATAAGGTGGATGTTTTAACAATTACATGTTTTGAACCGCCAAAAACTCTATCGTCTTTTGAGAAGTGTAAGCACTCACATTGTCCTGATGTAGGATGATTCGCCGTTGTGTGTTGCTTTGAGTTTCGCGATAACTTCTGGTAAACAAATCTGGATATACCAATCAGAAGTAGCCGTTATTCGATCTTCTAAAGCAATTGTTGCCACCTGACCAGATGTTGGCACAAAATTTGCTACCATTTTGTTTGACACACTTCAAAAACGGATCACTTTTGTTGAATTTTCCTCATCGTGAAACACCCACACAGTGGATTGGCGTTCATTTTCCGGTTCGTAAGAGTAAATTCAAGATTCATCGCCACTAACAATTCTACAAAGCTTTTTTGAGCTTCCTTTGTTAAACCGGTCCAACGTTTTTCGATACCAATTGACCCGAACCACTTTTTGCTCTTCCTGAGAAAATGAGGGATCCAACGGAAAACACCCAATTCTACATGTAGGATCTTTTGGATCGAGATCTTTGAAATTCCCACAGATGCCTCTATCTCCCTTCTTTCGGAAATCCTAAGTGGAAATTAAAACGTCAATAAACGTATTTTAACCTTTAATTGTGGCTTATTCCTATTTAAATAGTAATTATTTTAAAATGCCACAAGAAAATAGCTTCAGAACAATATCAAGTTAATAAATTAATTACTATTTAACTGGGAATAAGCCACAATTAAAGATAAAAATACGTTTATTGACGTTTTAATTTCCACTTCGGAAATCGTTCTCAAAATATAAACAGTAAATTAAACAAATTTTGTTTTTTGTTACATAGTGAAAAATTGTTCTAATAATTTAATTTTATCTGACTCATTTATATTGACAATTCAGACATACATTATGCATTTTAAAGTAGACGACTTTAAAATGATATTGCCAATATTGTTGAGTTGCGCTCCTGGGACGACTTTACTTATAAGATAGTTCATTCGATTACATGAAATCAACTTTAAGTTAAGAATATCCGCCAGAAAAAATCATAGCATGTAATTCGTCTTTAAAAAGACAAACACATGACATGATGACAGTACAATTCTCCTGTTAGTGATTCCATAGTAAATTATGAGGAAAAAAACAGGAAAAAAACCTATATACTATCCCGAAATGGTAAGTATTTGTTCGTGCATTTAGTTTACCTTCAATAAACACCAAAATTCTGATTTTATATGTTTCGTTATATAAAAAAATATATATGATGTATCCTCTATATGTTACTGACTTACTAATACTGGTATTTTCTTATTAATAACTTCCTCTTTCAATATTGGTAACCAGATCCTACTACATTCTGCCGAGAAATTTGCGACACAATTGGCCTCATTTAGCATAATTAGAGCCGCTTCTTTGATTTTTTTTTTACCATCCGTTTCTTTTAGGACTACATTTGAATTATTCCATTGAACCCTATGTTCATTATCCCATGCGTGTTTATATATTTGAGATCTATCAAATTCTCTATTTTTAATATAAGATTGATGTTCACTTATTCTAACATTTAATGGCTTTGATGTTTCACCTAAATGGAACTGATCGCATTCACAAGGTATTTTATAAATGCAATTATTTGTCCTTTCTTGTTCATTGTTAGGTTTGGTTTTGGACAAAATAGATCTTAACATGTTTGTTGTTTTGAATGTTGTTGAAATGTTGAATTTATTTCCTATCCTTTTAAGTTTTTCTGATAATCCTTTTATGTACGGTATTGTTATTTTCCTCGTATTATTCCTTGTGTATGCTGTAGGATCTCGTTCTAAGTTGTTCTGTTCTATTCGATCGATTGTTGAAAATTCCTTATTTATAAACGATAAAGAATAATTATTTTTTAATAAAACAGATGTTAACAAATGTTTCTCCTCCAAGAACGAATTTTCGTTAGAACAAGTAATTTTGGCTCTATCGTATAAGGATTTAATAATTTCCTTTTTTACATTAATATTGTGATTTGATCTGAAATTTAAATATCTATTGGTGTGTTGGTTTTGTAGGAGAAACATTTGTTAACATCTGTTTTATTAAAAAATGACTATCCTTTATCGTTTAAAAATAAGGAATTTTCAACAATCGATCGAATCGAACAGAACAACTTGGAACGAAATCCTACAGCATACAGTAGGAATAATACGAGGAAAATAGTAATACCGTACATAAAAGGATTATCAGAAAAACTTAAAAGGATAGGAAATAAATTCAACATTTCAACAACGTTTAAAACGACAAACACGTTGAGATCTATTTTGTCCAAAACCAAACCTAACAATGAACAAGAAAGGACAAAGAATTGCATTTATAAAATACCTTGTGAATGCGATCAGTTTAGATCTCAAATATGTAAACACGCATGGGATAATGAACATAGGGTTCAATGGAGTAATTCAAATGTAGTCCTAAAAGAAACGGATGGTAAAAAAAGAAAAATTAAAGAAGCGGCTCTAATTATGCTAAATGAGGCCAATTGTGTCGCAAATTCCTCGGCAGAATGTAGTAGGATCTGGTTACCAATATTGAAAGATGAAGTAATTAATAAGAAAAATACCAGTATTAGTAAGTCAGTAACATATAGAGGTAACGAAACATATAAAATCAGAATTTTGGTGTTTATTGAAGGTAAACTAAATGCACGAACAAAAACTTATTATGTCGGGATAGTATTATGAGGTTTTTTTCTTGGTTTTTCCCTCATAATTTACTATGGAATCACTAACAGGAGAATCTATCATGTCATGTGTTTGTCTTTTTAAAGACGAATTACATGCTATGATTTTTTTCTCACGGATATTCTCAAGGTAAAGTTGATTTCATGTAATCGAATGAGCTATCTTATAAGTAAAGTCGTCCCAGGAGCGCAACTCAACAATATTGGCAATATCATTTTAAAGTCGACTACTTTAAAATGCATAATGTATGTCTGAATTGTCAATTTAAATGAGTCAGATAAAATTAAATTATTAGAAGAATTTTTCACTATGTAACAAAAAACAAAATTTGTTTAATTTACTGTTTGTATTTTGAGAACGATTTCCGAAGTGGAAATTGAAACGTCAATGAACGTATTTTTATCTTTAATTGTGGCATATTCCCAGTTAAATAGTAATTAATTTAAAATGCCACAAGAAAATAGCTTCAGAACAATATCAAGTTAATAAGCTTTTAAACAATTAATTTAAAGGATTTATTTTTTTGTGAATGGAGTGATAGCATAAGGGATGAATGTGATATATCGTATTATTAACTATTACCGATTAAAAATAAATGTTCAGCCTAAGGTTTATGTAAGCCTATGTATTTAACCCCTACTATATATTGAATGCAAACTGAATAGTGATCTCTTATTCCAGTTAATTAATGTAGTGAACTTTCGGATAATTATTGACAAAATAAATGTTTCACTGCATACGGAACTATGTATGTAATCTTTATTATACATTTACACCCCCGCGGTTCTTAGCAAAATACCAGTTCAAGCGAAGTGATAAATTAAGCGAAATTCATTAATACTGACCTTCTTGTGGCTCTTTAGCGAAACTCACTGCCTGACTTTGATCCATCTGCTCCAACAAATTCATCAAAGTTGCCAACCTGCTCCAACAATCACCGGGAGATCTGTAACAACGTCGTCAATGAACAATACATCAAGATAAAGGGGAGATAATTCCACCAAAGTACAATTTGATAGAGAAATCGGAGCAAATTTCGTTATAATGAAGAAAATTTTATGTAGTGTAAGGACCCATAGTTCGAACGCAAATCAAAACTTAATTGTAATCAAATATTTAATTAAAATGAAATACATCACTTTTGGGGCTATGTTGACTGATTTATTTTATTCAATTTTATTATTTTACGGTATAATTTAAAATAAACCATAATTAAACTGTTTCTGATATTAATTTCATGTTTTTATTTACAAATCAATAATAATAATAAGCAATTTTTAATAATTTTAATAGCTGCTGTGTCGTATTTGATTGTAATTAAATATTTGATTACAATGAAGTTTTGATTAGCGTTCGAACAATCGGTCCTTAACTTGTGTAAATTATATCAAAAACATAGCATTCACAATATTTTAGCTTACGAAATATTTTTTAATTGTTACATTACATGTTTACAATCTACTCTTTACACAGATTAATAAAAAAATATGTAAATAAATTAACGTGAGTTAGGTAGCGTCCAGTGACGGTACTTTAACAATTATTGGGGTAGGTCTTCTGGCCATACTCTATTCAATCTTCTTTCGGCAAGAGGTTGGGTGAATCAATTATTTATCAGTTCGTTGTTGTGATCAGTGGTGTCATTTTTATATTTTATTGAGTGATTCTTTAATATGTCCTTAAGTGGTGGGATGTCCAGATCATTGTGAGTGTTTGGTTAGATACATACCATGGAGCTTTACTTATCATACGGAGTATTTTAGATTGGAATGTTTGAAGTATCTTCGTATTTGAATTTACTACAGCCCCATAGTTTTATTCCATATGCCCAAACTGGTACGAGTATGGCTTTGTACAGAAGCGTTTATTTTCAAAGATAACTGAGACCTTTTGTTAAATAGAAAGTTAATATTTTTTAATTTAAAATCTAGTTGTTTCCGTTTGTGCGTTGTCCTTGTAAGTTTTTCATCCAGATACAATCTGGAATGCAGAGTTTTGTAATTGGACTAAATGATTTTGTACTTTTTGTGATGCTAAATTAGGCTCGATATTCACTGCCAAGATTCCCGTGTCATCGGCAAAAGTAGCTAAAAAGGTATCATTGCTGGAACGTCTGCTGTAAATATCAGATACAGAAATGGGCCCAAAACGCTGCCCTGAGGTACTCCAGATTTTCATCATCATCTTTGGCTCTACAACCTTGGGTGGGCCTTGGCCTGTTCAAGAATTAGTCTCGATTCCCCCCTATATTTCGCCTTGGCTCTCCAATTTCTGACCCCTAGATTCCTCAAGTCGTCTTCGACTTGAGTTTTAAATCAAGATCTTGGCCTGCCTCTCTTCCCTACTGGCTCTTGATATAATATCTGTGTTTGGGGGTCTCCAGTGTCCATTCTTTCAAGGTGTCCTTGACGCCAGATTTTATGATGTGGTAATTTGAGTAGCTGTCAGAGTAGATTTCACTTTGTAGAGGAGACCTTTATGCCATAATCTATCAAATGCCTGGTGTATGTCTAGAAACACTTCAGCGTAAAACTTTTTCTCTTCGAGAGTTATTATAAGTATCTTTACTATTTTGTTGCATTGTTCCATGGTTGAGTGTTAACGTCTAAATCCGATTTGAAGTTGTGATATAATTTCCTTTATGGAAACAACTTGCTTGATTTTATGTAATAGCCATTCTAATACGTTTGACATTATTAGGAGTAGCCTTATAGTGCGATATGAATTTGCTTGAGTTGCGGGCTTACCAGGTTTCGGAATCATAGTAATTTGAGCAAATTTCCATTGTATTAGAAAGTATCGAAGACGCAGTATGCTGTTGTATATTATTGTTAATAACACCACTGCTTTTCTCCGTAGCTTCTGAAGTACCTCTCCTGTTATCAAATCATAGCCAGGAGCTTTCTTAAGATTTAGCATTTTTAAGATATTATGGTTTTCTTGTACACTTCTTTGGTGCTATGGCGTTGCTTCCCATCCTGTTGTTTGTAAAACTGTGGTTAAATAGTCTACTGCTTTTTCTACATATTGGTTTTCTTTTATCCTAATATCTAGTCTAATCTTTGTATTTACAGAATTTTGGAAAACATTCTAGTTTGTTTCTTTAGTCGTGAGTTTGGATGGTGGTCTTCATATTATGTGTGTGCTTAAATTTATTATAATTGTGTATTAAGTTTGAGTCTATTTTACTATGGATGTCCGCTATCCTTTTTGTTACAGCAAAATCTACCAAATCTTTGATTTTGAATCTGGGAACCACTATGTGGGTTCTCCCGTTGATAAGTATCTAAAGTTAATTTGTTGGATTCATATAATGCTCGACCTTTCGGCGTGATTAATCTGGAACCCCATGTGGTGTGTTTGGCATTCCAGTCTCCTGCTACTACGAATTTGGATCCAAGAGTTGAGTATGAAATCACGATACTCCTCGCTTGAAATGGGATGTTTAGGTGGGTTGTAGACCGATGATATACTAAGAGAGGTGTTTGTTTCGCTTTTAATTATTGCTGCTTTGATTTTTTCCATAATATGTGCTCCTCCGTGATCCCTTATTCGTGTGGTTACCGTCCATTATATTACTCTTGTGTCGGAATCTAGTTTGAAGAGAACATAGTCTATAGCTATATTGAAAAGAAACAGAGAAAGCTCAGACCCCTGTCTTACTCCAGTAACAATGTCAAATCCGTCACAATTGTTCCCATTATATGTCATGTTCCAATAAGCCTCAGTTTAAAGAGACTTTGTAATACATTATTTTTTGCAGGATATTTTTTTAACTCAAGAATGATCCACTTCTTTTCAATTACACTTGATTCAAATTGAAAAAGGTCCCAATTTGAAACCAACTATGTTTTTTTTTATTTTTACTGTATTTGACTTTATAACTTATATTTTTTAAGCCGATGATAAGCAAAATTTAATTCTTCTTTGTAAACCATTTTATACGTTTTGTTGACACTTTTTCAGCTTCTGGTGGAATGTTCTAAGACAACGACTGAAAACCTTTAATGATCTGATGCTCAAATCTAGCGAAACTAAATGCTTGTTTGAACTCCAGGTCCGAAGTTTTAAAGGAAAAAACGTTGAGTAATGGAGGAATTCAGTCACTCGAAGAGTTAGGAATGTTTCTGGGATTCTTAGATTCTCTTTATAATTTTATATAACAAATTCAATTGTTTGGCTGTTAATTGATTATTATTTATTTTTAATGATTATGCTATTGACGTTAAGCAATATTGTAAATAATAAATAATCACAAAATGAAATTAATATTTTTTTATACAAGCCATATGGATTATACAGTCCCATATGGAACGATGCGACCATAGGGCTTAGCGAAATCAGATGGCCTAACTGTAGTAAATGTACTAAAGAAAAAGCGACACTACATTAATCAGGAAATAACCTACCTCATCATTATAACCGAGTAGGATTTCTAGTTAACACAGCCTCAAACAAATCAGTAAGGAACTTCGTGGCATACTCAGATAGGGCAGCACTACTACAAGTCCAAGCCGATCTTGTTGACCTTAACATTATACAAATCTATGCACGAACCTTGGACAAGCTTGAAAATGAAGTAAAACAATTGTACAGAGAGATCAAGGAGTTAATGAAACTGATCGAGAAGAACCAGACTCTTATAATCATGGGAGATTTCAATGCGAAAATAGGGCGAGGACGTGTTGAAGATGTCGTGGATGACTTTGGTTTGGGAGATCGAAACGAGAGAGGTGATATGCTAATCCAGTTCTGTCAAGCAGAAAAATTAGTCTAATTACTATTTATCTGGGAATAAGCCACAATTAAAGATAAAAATACGTTTATTGACGTTTCAATTTTCACTTCGGAAATCGTTCTTAGAGAAGGCTGCGAAAACAATGCAGCAGGACAATCCAACTAAAGTCACTATATTTTACAGTTAATTATTGTCAAATATTATTTCAATAAAATGGTTCGTGGTATCTCCACAATTCTAAAATTAGCGATTGATTCAAAATTATTACCGCAAAAAACAATAATCTCTGAAATAAAGGTTTAACCTAATATTACTAAAACAACAGTGTAAAATATAATTAAGCATTATGGAAAAATACCATGGGCAAAAGTGAATCAACACCTCGTATTTTTTGACATGACATAACATTGTCAAAAATCTTGGCGGTTATACACTGTTTAACTAAATTATTTAATAATCCTTTTTTTGGAACGATTTCCGAACTGGAAATTTAAACATCAAAGTTTTAGGTAAACTGTAATTGCCATTACATTACAATCAATATGGAGATATACTGTAGAACGAATATCCAAGTTTCTTGATGTATTAGACATCCCATTAATCAAATAAAGTGAGATAGAGGTATAAAATAGTTTAATAACATTGAGACTTACCCCACTTTAAAATCCTGTGTCGACGGAGGAGGATTCCACACTCCTGTGTGACACAACAACCAATCACACCAAATTTTGACGGCGGGAAGAAGGACGTTGGCGTCTGGAGGGAAGGAGATATGGGAAAGGTCACTATGAGATGATATGTAATCTTGTAAAGTACTAACGCATCGTTCAAGGATAAGATTGAACATTTGCAAGGACACTATCAAGGCGCGCTCCTGGAGCTCCGATCTGTAGCCTGGCTGACATTGCAACTGAGGATCTGAAACAAGAATTTAAGGTTAGTAAGAGTGTTAAAAATACAGTCTTTTAAAAATACATTTATTTCCCAGGGTTACAGTAATTTAAGTCGAGATGGAACATCATTTATGTTTTGTTTCGAACTTATCGTCCCTACCATTTCCAACTATCTAATGTGAAAAATCGGGTTTTTCAGATTCGATACCTTGTCCTTGCATTAGACGTGATACACCTTGTAGCAAAATACAGAAATTGTAGCTTAATAAGGAACGCGGGAAAATTTTGTTTAAACCATCGAATATGAACATTTTGTCATTTTGTTTTGGTCAAAATATCGAATATACTGCAACCTGACGAAAATGAAATATTCGATACTTGTGTTGTGTATAAAATATAACTAAAGGCATATTTGTACAACGCAAAATGACGAATGTGTCACATTCATTAGTTTCAGTGTTGTAATTGATACAGTTATTCAATTATAATCTGCAAACTGTCGAAAAGACTAAACATTGTTGACAAGAACAAAACGCATGTGTTCACAATGGTGTGAATTATTGCTTTCAAGAAGTTCTTTTGGTGAGGCACTTTATCATTTTGTTTTTTTGTTTTTCAAAGTAATCGCCTTTAATTTAATTTATGCAGTCCTAAATAGGTATCTCAGAAATGAGATTTTTTATATTGGCGACGTGCAAGTACTTGGATGTGATACGAGAAACGATCGTGCACGAGTAGCGGAGAAATCTTGCATTTTTTACTGCAGATTTTATAAATTCATATTGTCAATTGTTAAATCGTCATATTTCATATTTGTTTATTTATTTACACCTTCTGTCACTGAAGAAAATGGGATTTAGTCAGAGATATTTAAATATCTCTGGATTTAGTAAATGATGTGTTATAAATTGTAAAAGTAAAACAAAAAATTGTCAATTTAAGTTTTATTCGTTTCCAACTTCGAAGCACAAATTACTACAAAGAGAAAAGTGGATTTATATCATAAAAAAGCATAAGTAACATAACCTAAATTATGCAAAATTCTTGCGCCCGATTTTAAAGTCAGTTTGAAATAAATAATAAATAAAAGTTCACTTTTAAGTGTAAATTTTAGTTTCATAACACTCACTTAGAGTTCACTTTAACCCAAAAATCAAGTTTAATGCTAATGTAACTTTAAGTTTAGCTATGTATTACATAGCTTTGTCCATTTTTTCTTAATTATTCCACATTCTTAACATAATTTGCCACTACTAAAGCTTGTCCCTTTGACTCAGTGCTTGGTTGAAAAGTTATTTGGTGATTTACTTTCTCAAATCCAGTTTTTATTATTGTATACTTGTATAGTCCCAATACTTTGACGGTCTCATCTGACGTCTTAGAACGTTTAACATGTATTTTGTTTTCGATTCTCTGAGACGCAAAGAAATCACACGGTGCCAAATCAGGACTGCATGCAGAAAAGCTCGCCAAAATGATGTTATTATCCAGGATCTGGCATTGTCTTTATGGAATGAGATGCGACGATTCCAGTTATTTTTGAAGAGTTCATGAATAAGTTTTAGCCAAAAAATGGTTGTATACCATTCAGCATTGATGGTATTAACCTTATCTAACGAAATCGTGGCAACATGTCATTTTTTTTTCAAAAATATTTGCTAAACAGCCACAACAGTCGAGAGTGAGTCTTTTTAGTTTGCTATTTTAAAACTGTCTGCATTTCTAAAGGAGTGGGGTTGAAGTAAGGGTAGGAAGGGTTGTAGTAGGGTAATGATTTTAAAATTGAGGTAGAGAATGATAGGAATTAATACAGCGAAAAATGACATGGTTGTTCGCAGGTAAAAAATTGAGTAGTTGCTTCAAACAAACAAAACATAAATTATATGATAACAAAGTTAGTTGAACAGTATTAAAAATGGAGGTTCGGCATTATTATTATAATACTCGAACAGCTAGGAGTAGGAAAAAGCATTAGACCTAATATTAGAAGGATTATTAATAATTTCTAGAATAATAATTTATAGAACTCTATAGACTTTTTGGTGATGCAGATATTGTGAAGACCATCAAAATAAACCGCCTAAAGTGGGTGGGCCACGTTATGCGGATGGATGAGAGTGATCCACTAAAATAACTATGCTAAATAGGCCGGTCGAAAGTAGAAGAAGGGGGCGACCTAAACTCAGATATATGGACGATGTACAGGAAGATCTGAGGGAGAATGGAGTGAGGGGCTGGAGAAGACAGACACTCGATAGTGAAGGATGGAAGAATGTTTTGAAGCAGGCCAAGGCTCACGAAGGGCTGTAGCGCCAATTGATGATGATTATTAATTTCTGAGAACAAAAAAAACATTGAAGAAATTAAAAGGTTTATTAACAAAGTGCTGGGAAACAGTTGTGATGCTCCATGGTCCGTAACAAACAGTTCCAGCAATAGAGACAAAACATGGAGATGGTTGAAGACATTATAACCGGATATGCTAGCAAAAATGAACAACGTTTGCTTCAACATGTGAATGTCGAGATATTCCACCTGCTGAACAACGCGGATCTAGAAATAAAGTTTAAGGGAAGAGAGATCTTCGAAGTGAAAAACAGTAAGTTTGAAAGCAGAGGATAGCGCGGTTTAGTGAACAGTCTAAAAAGAGTTGTATATTATTACTACAAATAGGCTATATTACTGGAAACATTCATTAATGCAACAATAGTACAAAATACAACATTTTAACAACCAATTAAGAACAGAGCTGCACAGTGTGATCTATTTGATCAGATTGGAGTAATAATAATATCCTTTAAGGGTTTTCTTTTCCCAGTGCAGCACAAAAATAGTAAGATCTTCATACTAATGAATGTGGTTATGCAGGAAAGGTCTGGAGGGGGATAATTAACCAGTTAGTAGGACATGCAGACCAAACTCCAGGCAACAACAACTGCTTCGGGATAATGTTAATGCGAAATAATGCAATGTCATGTCATCCTCTAGGAGAGAGCTAATGATTAGTTATCTCTCAAGCTTTATGTAACAATGAGTGTCCTTTGGTGTTTTCAATATAATCCATACTTTAGAAAGTGGTATTGTCAAATGCATATAAACACCAATTTGTTCGGACACAAATGCATCCTCGTACCATCATCTTAAACTGCGGACAAATTTGCGTCACTGGTAAACACAAACTATGCATAAGATCCACGTATCATCTATAATACCATTATAAATGGCATATCTAGAAGCTATATTTTAGTCGTGATTCATCTCGACGCACTTCGTATATTTACAGTTTTTATTTCGATTTTTTATGGTCTTATTCTAGGGAGTGATGCGTAACACCCGAGGCTGTGTAATCAATATACCATTAACATTATTCATGATGGAAATTATTTAAAAAGAGAACCAGAAACGTACGACAAAAAGAAAATAGAAAATAATCAGGAGCTCGATGGTCAAACAACAAAATAGACCAGTGAATGACCACTATTTCTAACCAATCTTTATTAAAACAACAAAAACAACATAATACAATAAACAGAAATGAAGAAGGTTTACTAAGACTACAAAGATAAACTGTTGCTTACAAAATGGTACCATTTAAGAGCAGTAATCGATGCAATACTATGGGAATTTTTGGTATTATTTTAACAGTTGTTTAAGAGGACTTAGAACAAAAAACTTCCTATTAAATTGACTATATGTATAACAAGGGAAGAGCTTACGGAAGCGATCATAACAATATAGTACAGGCGATCACAGCGATCATAGCACAGCAACAGAAGTCTTCCACATTAACATAGAACTTCTAAGATATGAAAAAAAATGACCTTGCTTTGTCGCACAGCTTCTCTTTGACGCGTAGCTGCGAAAACCGACAGTTTTTCATTGCTTTCATCATCATTATGGCTTTACAACGCTTAGTGGGTCCTAGCCTCCTCAGACATATTTCTGAGGTCTTCATCAATGTTATCAAGGAACCTTGTTTTGGGTATTCCTCTTCTCTGACCAATGGTTCTATCAAGGAGCATTTTTCTAGCTGCATCCGCATTACATGCCCTATCCACCTTAAACGTCCTATCTTAATAGGTTTTACGATATACGGTTCCTGGTATATTCTATAAAGTTCGAAGTTCTTCTCCACACTCTATTGTCATTCACTGCCTTCGTCTTAGTACTTTTCTTTTGAAACATCCTAACATGTTTTCATTACTTTTTGTTAGAGTCCAGGTCTCTGAACCATGTTAGGACTGGACGTATTATTGTTTTGTAGAGTTTTATTTTTGAATTTTTCGATAGAAGATTGATCCCAAAACAGCATCTATTGGCCGTGCAAATTCTGCGGTTTATCTCTGCGGTAGTATTATTTTTAGTGTTAACCAGTTCACCGAGTGAGCTGGTTGGATACCTAGGCCGAAGGTATAATGCTCTAGGACTGGCCAGGGTAGCTTTCAACGAGCTGCAGACACAGCTCGATCGTATACATCGAGCGGGGCTTAAATCAACACAAAAGCTGCTGGTACTGAAAACGTACTTGCTACCGAAATATATTGACAAGTTGCAGAGTTGCAATAATTGAACATGGTTTTATCACTTGCTTACTAACATATTACTTAATCAGTAAGACTTACTGTATCTAAATTTTTTGTATGATTATTAATAAACAATACACATATAACTGTTTTGCTTTTAGTTTAGTGCTTTGGGTTAAGATTTCCGTTAAAATTTAGCTTTTTGAACGGGTTTTGCCACCAACAAATTTTGAGAATCACCAACGAAACGAGAAAAGTGAAAACGTGAATATATCTTTGCATTCATCGTACTAATCCAGAGATGCTTGGATGTGAACCAGGATATGTACGTCTGTTTCATAGATTACAACAAGGCTTTCGATAAAGTCCGCCACAAAGAGCCAATGGACGCTCTCAAAGCAATGACCTTTGAATTACAACAAATCTATATTATAAACAACAGGTACATACCTATGTCACCACTACTATTCAATGCATACTCTGAAGAAATTATGAAAAGAGC